AGTTACCTCTTGATCTTGCAAGAAATTTAGTGTTTTTGTCACTTCCTCTGAGCTTAAAAGAAAACACAACCTTATCTTTATTGTAGACACTACTAGTCCCATGAATTTACCATATAATGGAGGTGAACAAAGGCAGAAATGTATGAAATCCAGCCTGTGTGACAACCATGACTGCCCTAATAAATACAGTGGAGAAAAAAGGATAGACATGAAGGGACAGGAAGTGTGTTATTTGCTAGAATACCGGGTAGAAAATAGGGAAAAAATAAAACTAATGCCACATCTAAAGACTACTAAGCTGCAACATATTACATGTTTGTTTTTGGATTTAGATACTTTTTATTTTAAAGAAGACCCTTACAAGAAAACCTCTCCAAGCTGTCATGGTTTGCCTGTCCTGGGAATGTCTCCTTTTCTCTGCATTGCTGCTGATTGTAAAACCCACTGCTTGTATGTTAGGGTATACTATATAATCCACACTATAGCATGCAAAAAAACAACTGTAGGGTGCCCATATATGGCCTAATGTATAAAGAAGAGCAGATAGATTTAAGAATTTCTTTTGATATAAGGTATACATAAGACCCCCTAAAGTGCTTATTATAACTTACAAAGATTTTCCAATATAATAAGATTGTTCCTTTTTTTCAGAAAATACTTTTTGCTTACTGTCTGTCCAGTGACACCACTATTATTGGCAGTTGAGTTGCCTATCTGTCCAGAAGGAAAGCAGGAAGGGGCTGGGCAGCGCTCCATAGTATGCTTGTGCTTGGAATTGGAGGACTCTGTCACAGAAGATGATTAAACCTATACAAAAGTAATAACGGGCACCTCTTTGGGTGGTAAGGCAGTATATTTATGTTGAACGTTTAGCAACTACTAACAAGTTGCTTTAATTTGTCATTAGCAATTCTAATTCTAAAAAATGTTAGTAACTGATCAAAGGACATGCCCAGCTGGGTCCTGAGCTAACCTGGTTCTGAACCCACCAGCAGCAACAGCAGCGCCAGGGTCATCAAAGCAATCCTGTGATGAACCACTTGATATACCAAAGTCATTTTTTCAAATGTCCCTTTAATAAGGTAGTACAAGGAGTAATGGTGTTGCACAAAGTGCTATCATCTATGGCACAAATTGGATTTTATATCTGTATAGAACAGTTAAGAGCATTTAAAAAGGTGGTTGTTCAATGGCTGCTAAGGATTACATCACACTGTACATTGCTCTTGGCTTTATCAGACAGGCAAGAATGTTAGAGGTGGGATGAGGTTTTCACTATTGCTAAAAGAGTGTTGTGCAGGAGGAAAAATTCCCTAAATGTTACAGTATGGAAGGAACTCTAACAAGGGTCAACTTTTAAAAGTAGAAAATCTCAGAAGATTGGGAAGAGATTTGGGCTAATGCAAACAGAACTTCCATATGTACCTTTATACAAAGAGAACCTACAGTATATAAGATCCTGTTTCATTGGTACCATATGCCGAATTCCTTCACTTGATAAACTCAGTTATACAGTCTATCTGTTGGAGATGTTCTAGACAGGTGGGTAGTTTGTTTCATTTATACTGAGATTTCCCAAATATTCACCCTTTTTGAAGGTGAGTTGTGTCTTTACTGGCTACTTTAGTTCCATTGGACCCAGAACATTGTTTGCTGGGACTCCTTATCTCTAACTTGACATGCCACTCACCTAACTGGCTAACCACATTCTCACTGCTACTAGATGCCTAATTGCATTGAAATGTAGGCAAACTACTCCATGAACTCATTTAGACCTACTTGCCCGTATTCATGATACAGTATATGTAACATGGAATATCTAACAGCTAGATTGAACAACACTATCTGTATTTGATTTAGTCCCCTTGGAAACTTTTAGACTCATCTTATCATTGATCACCTCATTTTTGTTTCTTCTCTCCCCTTTTTTTCTTTTGGGGGTGTTTTTTTGCTGACTGAGTGGATTGGGAGCATGGGTTATTTCCTTCTTTCTTGTCTTTCTCTTTTCCCCTCTGTCTTTGTTTCCTTTCTCTTCTTCTCTCTTACCACTTCATCCCTGATTGTTGAATGTTTTGTGCTTTGGGAGAAGTTTCTTCTTCTGGCTGTTGGTTCCTCATTTGGTCCCTCTCGTTCTAACCATCTCAGTTTTTCACATCATAATTTTTCATGTTTTCCTATGTCAGCGACTTTACTTTGCATTCAGTTCAATTCTGTTATCTATGTAATTTTTTTGTTGCAATAATTATTATATCTATATGTGATGTGTTATACTTATGTAGCAGCTGATGGTAATGTTCTCGTTGTTATAGTGTACGTTTGTCTCTTTACTTATTCTATTGTTATTATATAATGTCTTAATAAAAAGAAAGTAAAAAAAAAGTAGTAAACCTCTAAGGTAGAATGGTGTAAAGAGCATAATTCAACTGAAAACCCTGGCAACTAAATATATACCAGCTTTTAAGCAGTCTAGTATAGGACAGAATGTTGAATACCAATGTTGTATTGGCTGCCGTTGTTAGCTATAAATATTCATTGTTCCCACCATGTTGTCAATTAGCACACAAGAACAACAGTAATAGCCTCTACAGTCCAGGTTTATGTTCATTTTTTCTATTTATACGGTAGTTCTGCATGATGTTGATGAGGAAAATTCATAAAATGGAGAGCCGAATGGTAGTTCTGCATGATGTTGATGAGGAAAATTCATAAAATGGAGAGCCGAATGGCTTTAGCCCCAAACAGATCAAAAAATGTGATAATTGTAAATAAAAACACATACATTCCCATAGAGATTGAGGCAAATTAGCACACATACTTTAAAAGCTGCCTTGCTGTCATCATTTAGGTCAACTTGGATGATAGAATGAGTTATGACTGCTAGTTCATTATGCTGAGACTTGTCCTTCTTGAAGAGCTGAAGTAGTGCAGACTTTATATGACCACTACACTTAGTGATTAGGGCTGACCATACTTGTCACATGATTGTCATCTGATCAGATTAGCGAATTATTGCTATTGCTCCCCTGAAATAAGGTCAGAACCAGTAGTGCCTCCTCATTGAATAAACTTGCACATTAATTAAATATTTGTGCATATTTGTGGAAAGCAAGGCTGAACCGATTTAGAGTAAGACAGAAACCAGTTAAAAAGTGTGGTACAATCAAAATCAGCTTTTACATGGAAAACAAACATTCCCTGATGCCTTATCTGTGCACCATCATCAACACAAACCCTGGGCAGGAGTCTAGTCTAGGACTAGGTCAGGCTTCATGATCCTATAGCAAGTCAGGAATTAGAGCAAATGGTCAGATCTGTGTACCTGTCTGTCACTTCACAAGGGAGGATGCACTTGGTGTCTGATGAGACAGAATGAGTACAGAATCTGCAAGCAGCGAGGCTTCTCTCTACTGCAATTATTATCAATGACAATCGAAGTGAAAGGGGCCCAAACTGCTACCTTGCTTAGAGCCCTATTTTTTTGGCCTTCATGGTGAAAAGAAAAAAAATCCCTAGAATCAAATTCACTATTGTTATCATTAATATTTTAAGTATCCATTTATATTTGGATAAAACATGTCATTTTGTGAAGAACACATTTCAACCATAAACTCTACGTTCTTATAAGTCAACAACAAAAGGTGAAACATGAACATGGTATTGGGGCCACATTTGTCACTGTTTAGTGTTCATATTGTGAACCAATTTTCAGATTACAGAACAAACTATGATGTGATATAAATGGTGTTTTTTTCATATGTATCCATATAACCATGTTGGGGCTTTTTCATAACAATGGGAAGCATTGGTGAAAACCGGAGAAGTCAAGTAATGTCGGCGGCTATAACAACTCTCCTGGTGTTAGTTTTAAATTCTATAACCCACACTGGAAAAATTCTGATTGGCTGCTTTGGTCCTGTTTAGATTCTGAATTCTGATTGGTTGCTTTGGACAACATCCTCACTTTCATTATAGCTATAAGATGTGTTCCATAACAGCCAAATTGATTCTGATTGGTTGCTTTGGTTCAATATTGATTCTGAACTGTGTTTGTTTGCTTTGGACAACACCTTCACTTTCTCTATTGCTATCAGATGTGTTTCATAGCAGTCAAAGACTGTGAGGGGAATTTATCAAAACTGGAGCAGGCAAAAACCGGAGCAGCTGTGCATGGCAACCAATCAGCTTCTCTTTTTCATTTTAAAATGTTCACTGAACAAACTGAACAAATTGAAGAGAGAAGGTGACTGGTTGCTGTGTACAGCTGCTTCAATTTTTGTCTGCTCCAGTTTGGATAAATCCCCCCTGTGTCTTTCTAAAGAAAGTATTGAAAATTGTAGGGGTTTTGTGAATGCTGTTTTCTAAGCCCCACAATTCAGAAATGGTTCTCTCCATTTGGCATGTCCAGAATCCTGTAGAGACTAGTGAACACTCTAATTTGATTTCCATGTTGCATATGAATCTCTAAATAGCTACAATATGATTGGGTGACAAGGCTGTGTCAGCTTCACCAGGTTATCAAAGAAGCCCCAACTGTGTTATATATACATATATTCATGATACACTGTCACAGCTATGATATAGGTCTGAACTACCAAGAGGATATTTTTATAAAATGACCACAAAATGTACTTTACTCAGATGAAGCAATAAAATAACCCCTTGTACAGTGAAGACCAGGATACTTCCACTTATAAAGAGGCAGTGTTAAACCTTAAAGGACCTTATATCATATTTATGAAATATAAGATGCCTCATAGATTAGCACCATGCATTAGGCTGTTTAACACCATTTGCTTTGATTATTTTGCACAACCGATGTCCACATTGTATATTGCTAAAATCCAATTATATATAACTCTCAGCTTCAGGAAACACCGTTGAATATGATCGAACAATCTCTTTACCTAGTTACCACTGTACCAGGTGCAGGACACCGAAAACATGCACAAAAGTCAAAATTATCTACACAACGGAGTAGTCACAGAATTAGTTTTTTTTACCTTTTGGGCCTGAGGGAGCTGAAAAATAAACAAAAACAACAAAACAAAATTCATTTAGAGTAACTAAATTTCTTTTCAAAGTATTAATCTCATCCTCTGTTTTTATGTGATAGATTTTGATGCTGAGTAAAAAACATTCATCGCACAGGCAGCCATTTTGAATCACTATTCGTCAGCCTGTGGGCAATAAATTGATTATTCGCCAAGGACATCACTGAGACATGAACTTAAAATGTTAGAAAAGGCCAAAATTCCATTAGCTTCTAGATTCTTGGTTTCTTTCTCAAATTCTGTTGGCTCTGTCCAAAAAATTGCTTACACAGCTATCAGGAAATAAAGTAGACTCTGCTATACAGCAAGTCAGTAAACCCATCCATTCTGTCTACAACATAAGCATTTCATTTCTTGCTGCCTTTTATCCTGGTGGAGGCTCTTCAAGTATAAAATATGCCCACTGGGAATTTCTATATTTGACAAATGAGGCACAATGTATAATACAAATGCCTGAATTGGTATATTGGGAGAACATATGTAATAAATACTTTATATAAAAATAATATTTCAGTACCCTAATCTAGGGTTTTAAAAATTGCTGCTATTATACCTAAAGCTTAACTGCCAATGAGTTTGCCACAAAGCATAATCCTACCTGGAAGGGGACCTTATCTTTTTCTTCTGCAGTATCACTTTAATTTACAAGTACACTAATGAGCTCATCTTTTACTCAGCTTTCTCCTCATATCAGCATGCTCATTGCACTGCAGCCCCCCTGACTGGTTTCTATTGCTGCTTCTCCCTCCCCCCTCTCTGAGCTCTGCTGTACAGACTGTACATTAGACTGCAAGAGGCTGACATCAAGTAAAATTCAAGTACTTCAAAACATGGATGCATTCACAAAATGATGTCAGTGTTAAAAAGTACCCTTGGGTCTGTTTTGATTATGGAATATTCTACACCTTAACGCAGTGAGTTGTATTATTCCCTGAGACTTTTACCAAATCTGTTACAAGACTGTTCTGTATGCACAGGAGATCCCTGTGTCCCTTTTGTTTCTTGCCATTACTTTTTCTCTACAAAACTGCCAAGGGTGAGATTGGTTTGCATATGTCTCTTTAAATGAATACTTACCCAAGGCAAGTGTAACAAATGTTGTTCAGAATCTCCACTGCTTCATCTGCTGGTGGCACTGTGCTCAACTTACCTATAAATACGATAGTTCTCCATCAGTGAGGACAGACCTTACTTTGAGAACATCCTTTATCAAAACCCTATTATCTGTTCTTTGTAGGGTTTTACTAATCAAAAACTATAAAAAGGAAAACAAAACATGAACAATACATTACATTATGTGTCAAAATAGTGCCTGGAGTGATTGAGAATCTACCAGAGACATCAAATCTATCCTAAAGTGCAAAAATTACACAAGTGCCATCACCTTTTAGACAGCAGTTCGTCATATGATGAAAAGGAAGATTAAATGGCACTCAACATTCTCAGATCAACTTTAACATTAATAACAGTATGGAGTTAACAGTATGGAGTCCCACAATTATGAGAGCTCTCGACCATTGTGCCAAAGGTTTTCATATTAACTACTAGGTTTTTTGAATGTATATAAAAGATGAAAACTTATATTTCTAGTGCATACACTGCATCGGAAACATGCAATACAAATCCAGACAGAACAGTGGCACTGATCCGTCAAACAGAAGCAGTTACAACCATCCAGAAGCATCATGAACATGATGATATAATCTGAACCTGCATTATGCTTTTCAACAGTGGACTTGTTTAGGGACTTAGGGATCATTATTCAGCATCACATATTGAGAAAAATAATTTATATATGGCCAACCATATAATAATCATTGACATACAGGAAAAAAAGCGACCTACTAAGGGAATTTTCATATAACACCACCCACAATGAGCTTACACTATTACATCCCCTTTGCAAATGAGCATAAACATTTCCTTCATTAAATAAAGAAAAATCAACATAAAATATATAACAAACAATTAATTAGTATAAATTATTATGAATAATATTACAGATCAATGTATGTTATTAGAGATTGCTAATAAAACTATTAACATCTAAATCGATATTAAGACCATTAGGAGGAAGGTTATCCATTAGACTGAATCCACTTTGTTTCATTTTGTGTGATAGATCTTCTCATATTCCTACCATTCCAGGATTTGTTAACCCTATTAATGCCTATGAATTTTCAACCTTTAGGGTTAAATTTATGAAACTTTTTGAAATGTGATGATAAATTTGGAATTTTTATTCCTTTACGGTTTTTTTTAATAGATGTTCCTGAAGCCCTACTGCTAAGGGTCTAGTAGTTGTACAGATGTAGTGATATATGCACGGCCATTTAATATTATATGTGAATTGTAGTAACACGTCTTATCTGAAAAATATGGCCACAACCTTAGATGTAAAATTAGTTTGTTTCCTCACAGGTTTACATAATCTACAGACTTAGCATCTTCTGCAGGCAAAATAACCTTCACCCTGAAAAAATGTAAACCCATGGTGTATAGGGGGATTTACAATATTAGGAGCCACCATATTATGTAAAGAAGTAGCTTTCTTATAAAACTTTTGTGGCTTGTCCAGTAAATGGGGTCCTAATATGGCTTTTTTTCAGTATGGTCTAATGTTTAGTTAAATACTTTCAACATTTTTAAAAGGGAAATTATAATGCATAGTGAAATGCCATTCAATTTTATTGCAATCCAACTAATTCTGATCTTTATATTTAGTCAATCCTGCCCTGTCCATACCATCAACATATTCTATTTTCATATTCAATCCTAATTCAATCCAAATCTAAAGGGTAGAATGCTCCTTTTCTAAAAATCAGACTCATTTTTTGACCTGTTTATAATAATCTTATACGGATGTGCATTTTCATCTAATTCTAATGAGCTGATCCTTCAGTATATCTTTAATCCAATGGTGACAACTCTCGATCAATATTAATCCATTTCTATCAACAGCTTCAAGAAAGGTGGGAGTAAATATCATATTATCTTTCAGAAAAACAGTAAAATCCAGAAAGTCTACAGATATCTTATCAAACCTTTACACCAATTTAATATTATTATCACTCCTATTAAGGGAATCTAAAAATTATTTCAACGATAATCTCCTTGCCAGAAAAATCTATATAGTCTATGGATCTTCCCTGGAAAAATCAATTCTGGGAAATACACTGATAGACATAAACAAATTGGCAAATGTAGGTGCAAATTTTGCGCACGTCGCCCATTTCCCATTTATTAACCAAAAATCATTATGGCTAAAGCAGGGTATACGTGGTTCAAATTTCGTATGAAAAAAAATAATTTTCTGATAGTTCAATATACACAGTATATCAATTAGTATGGTGCAATCGACAGATGAAAATGACAATGTTGCCGCAAATTTTTCGAAGGAGCATGTTGTAACATTTTTCTCAATCAAAGGAATTTCTAACAGTCAGTGTAGTTTTTGTTAGGAAACTGCATTATTTCCTAAATAGAATGTTAAATAAAAGAGAAAATTAAACGAAATGTCAAAAGACAATCGGCAAGTTTCTGATGCTAGTATCGAACAGTCCAACAGTATTTTCCATACGAACGTTCGCGCAAAAATCTACCCATGTATATCCTACTTAAGGGAGAAATCAAAACATTTTAAAGTTTAATCTTGCTGTTGCTTTTATTGAATTCACTAGTAGACCTGATCTGCTCCAGTGCCATCACTACTAGAAAAAAAAAACAGTACTTTGACATTGTCAGTCCAGACCAATCTACTTAACATAGATTCCAAAATTCCCCATTTTTATGAAACTGTATTAATTTTAGATGCCAAAAAGGTCTACCTGTCAGGAAAAGCCTCTTTCATTTTGGTAATTACTTTTACAATTGTAGATTAGAATGACAGTAAAAATCTAATCTGTTCAGATTTTCAAGTAGCAATGTTTTGTATGTACAGCACTACAGTGGGCCCCTCTTACTTTTCCAGTCCTTCCAGTCAACTTTCTTGTTGACCCCATCAATTTTCAGTCCATGAGTGGAGAATGCAAAAGCCAATCTCAAGCTGTCGGGCAAAACGCAATCTAAAGTACAGACAAAAATAGATAATAACTAGGCATGTGTAGCTAGGTTTCATTCCTGACTCTCATTTACCCATTGTAATGTACACCAGTAGTTCTTATAGGAAACTCTACGTATTTATTTAAACTGTACTTGTACATGCTCTTTTTTCTTAGTCCACCACAATGGCATTAAAATAAAAAATAAACCAAAAAAAGTAATTAAAGTAAAATTAATAAGCACCTAAACCAGCCTTTAGCAACCTTTTTTTTTTTTTTTTACCCCAAAGCAACCCTTGAAATGATTTTCAGGTCTACATGAACCCATGCTTAAATTAGTTTATTGGGAATCAATGGGAAAAATGCTCCTTATATTGCTGGTCAGGAAAGCGTGCCCTCCTTACAATGATGATTAGAATTTCACCATTACAGACAACTAAATAGATTACGGGTGCAAGGCGACTAGCTCTGGCAAGTGATCTTGGACCCAGAACTCTGCAGGCACCATCAGATAGAAGGTCAATTAGTCACACCTCAAGGAACCTCTAGTAACCTCTGGTGGAACCCAGGTTGAGAATGGCAGACCTAAACACTTAAATGAAAATGGCAGTAAAAATAAAAGTACATTGCACATTAGTAAAATCTCCACCATAACTTCAACTAGGGTATGCCACTGTAGGCGAGGAATGAAAGACAGGGTTATCAAACTGACAACAAATCACATATATGGCAGTTTTTAAATATGGCAAACTTTAATACGATGTGTCAGAACACCCACACATGCTTCAAAAACACAATAATATACACAATTTAGAAACATGTAATATTACCCTTTAAAAACGCAGACAATATTATATAGAAAGACAATATAGGGCACAAAAAAGGCCAATTCGGCAGATCACACCTTCATAAATAGACATCATTGTC